GTAGAATTCATAGTATCAGTACATACCTGGAATTCTATTTGGAATCAAATAGACTACAGTTATTGTGATGTACTACCCACAGTAATATTTTCACTAATTCAAAGCCTTCCTTCTTTGTAAGGTAGAATTTGTGGCTCAACTTATTCAGTCTGCTTTTAAGTAATTTTTTTTATTTTTTTTTTTTCCAAAAAATGTGTTTTTGCAAAGGTATAAATTAAATAGCAAGAATCCAAAGCATCTGAAATAACTGCAGTGCAAAACAGCTCACTAACATAATGAAGGCCTAAAAGGTAAACCTATTCAGAAAGCAAAAGTTGATTAATTTAACAGTAAAGAGGTTGATTTCAAATTGAGGTGGAAGAAAAAAAAAAAAAAAGACTTTTCGATAAGCAGTAAAATAATAAATACTGCAAAAGTTAATTTACTGATCAATAATATTCTGCACTGTTACACAATTTTTTTTTGTGTGTGTAACTGAAAAAATGTTGATATGTAATAAGGAATAAAACTACAAAATTCAGCTTTGGACAAAAAGAACAGTGGTAAGCAAATCTTCTCTTTTATGGGTGAAATCATTAATTACTTAAATGTTTTCCATAAATTGTTTTCTAAGAAATCATATTTTTTAACCACTCATGTGGCTGCTCTCATATAAAAATGTACCGTATTACCAAACGTAATATGTTTGTGATTGATAGTCTATTACCCACAACACTAACTTACCATGAGGTTGGACCTTACAGCATATTTAGTAACTGCAGAATGGAGAATTTCAAATGGAACTGAAACCTGTGAAAACCTGTAATTGCAGCTATGAAAAACTATGTTAGGATGCTTCCTAGGCAGTAGGTAGAAAAGACAGCCTTTTATGAACAACATGACTTAGAAAGTTTTTGCTGGTAAGGGATGTATTCTCCAAAGGAACTTGCAATTCCCTTTGGTAATATAGAGTGACTGGATATACAAGTGTATTACTGTAGCGTGCGCATGCCTGCTCCTAGATGTAAACAATTAAGTGGTTTGAATATTTCTCATTGTGTTAATGACAGTTGAAACATGATGAAGAGATAACTTTAAGGGCAAGCAGAGAACTGCTTGTAGGAGTAGTAGTCTGTTAATCATTACTGGATTGTTTAAATCCTTTCCAAATTAGTAATGCATGCTTACTGAGAATAATACCTGAAGACAGATTACCCATCGTATCTAATACATCAAAATTATGCATTTTCATTCTCTAATGCTAATCACTGCAGTGAATAATTTGTAGAAAAACACCCAAGAAATAATGCGCACTCTCATCAGAAATTTTCTTTTTTTAATCAATCTATATTGTGATTTTTAAGATTCCCTTATATCCCTAGTATATATTTTCAGAACAAACATATCTCAGCTAAAACCACAACAGTACCATATAGAAATGCAAACATTTGTACTAAAACTGAAACATGGAAAGGCACCTGATTTGTATGTACAAATCACTTTGTAATTCACTGGAATTTATACATTTTATTTCCTTCAGTCCTTTTAAAACCCCACCTTTAGAGTACTTTCTGCTACATCTAATTTTTTAAAAATTAGTTGATTCAATTATTATTATTATTGACAGTAGTGATTATGATTAATGTTAATAACAGCCAATACTCAGCTTCATATGTATAATAAACAATTGCAGTTGATTATATTCATTAATGAACCATATTAAGAATGATACCTTATTTTTCATGTACTTGGTTTTTTTACATATTAAATATAAAGAAAAACAAACAGAACTGAACACAAAGACGACTTTGTAGGGAGAAATCACTGAAGTGCCTCTGGGCTCCAAACAATTTATGGCTGTCTAGCATTTACTTCAGATAAAAGGCAGGGTTAACTGCACCCAGATGGTATCAAACCTGATAATCTCCTTCTGTCCTGGAGAACTGCTCTTATCATCAAAAACAACCTCAACAGAGAACAAGGATAAAGTACAGAAACTCTGTGCAATCCCACTGTCAGTTTAAGTCTCTGATAGAGGACAGTAAGTGAAGGATGAGACAGTGATACCAGGGCACTTTGTGTCGCCATTAGGGATGTTTAACTGCACTGTCATTTGAGAATGTGCCAAGAACATGCCTTCCCTCCTGACCACAAAAACTACCAAATGCTTTACACACATATAAAGAAGACTACTGATATTACGGAGTAGCATTAGGAGCATCATTTTTTCATGTCTAGTAGCTATGGAAGAATATGTACAAATAGGTCTCGGTTCTTTATTTATGTTTTAATTGTAAAATACTGAAATTTATACAAGAATGTTATTAAAATAATAAAAATTCTGATAGAATGGTCTACTAGTGATTATGCAAAAAGTGAACCTGAAAAAAGATTCATCTCAAAACTAAGTCTGAAGAGAAGAAAATCAAAATCAATTCATAGAAATTACATGATTTTTCATATTTGTAATTTCGTAAATGAATATTTAAAAAAAAAAAAAAAAGCAACCCTGATAGCAATGTTCATATAAACAATATACTGAAAAAAAGATCAATAGAAAGAAGGTCAAATCATTTATTCAATACCAACTTCACTAAATCTCAAAAAATTCCCCTTTTCCCATTTTTGCTGTGAAGACCAATCAGTTATTTAGTTTTTGAACATGTAACTTTAGGTGAAAGTTTCTTACTTGCTAATTATAAAAGGAAATGGTGAATGAAAGGTAACTATGGCACTTACTATGAAACAAAACACACACACATAAAAGGGGGGGAAAAAAAGCACTTGGAGAAAAGCACTCTGCTATTTTTGGCAACAAAATGCTATGGGGAAAGAGTGATAAGAATCATCTTCTGACAGATCACTTGATAAGACTGTTTTATCACAGAAGGTTATGACAGAAACGAGACTGATGGAGGATGAGGCCTGAATGAAGACCCTGTCCTCTGAGGACACTATTTTAAAGGGCAGAAGTCTTTGCCATTAGACGTTTTTTTTTTTGCCTAGGTGAGACAAGCAACCCACAGTTGCAGTTTCACACACTGATGCAAAGTTACTTTCAATACAAATTTAAAACTGCTCTAAGGGGTTAGTCAGAATGTCAACAGAGACAGACTTACATTGTATCACTCAAACATACTAGCACTGCATTATAAAATTACTGGACACTCATTGGTATGAAAATGTTTCTATTTTTGGTATTCAAAGAACACCTGTGCTAGAAAAAAAAAAAATCAACCACATTATTTGGCTCAAACTTCATATCGGTACAAGTTTTCAAAACTGGAGATTCCAGTTTTACAAATTTCATTTTACATTAAATAAAAATCTTTCTTACATATAAAAATAATCATCACAATGTGTGATCTCTCTGATGATAGAATAATATAAAAAATGTTTTTATCACATTTCTAAACTGCAATGTTTTGTGTCAAAAAACTGTTTGTACTAATGCATAAACTCAGAATCAAAACAATATGCTAATCCATCTTCACACATAGATTGCTTCTATACATACTGCAAATTAAGTGTGCCATACTACTCACATTAATTCAATTGGGACATATTGGAATATTTAAATTAATAGATTATCTTTTCACCCTGAAAGATGTTAAAATGACATAAAATGTATAAACACAGAAATTTTGTTGTGATCTCTGGTATGAATTCTGTGCTTCTAATGAATTCTTCATTTTCTCTTGCCTATGTTTCATAAAATAGGACACATTCTATAACTCCCTTGTAAATTAAAAAAAAAAAAAAAAAAACACAAAAAAACACAAAACCACAACAGTATTGAATTTTAAGTCATAACGGCTATATAAACTTAATCAAACAATATATTTTATGTCATTTTACCTATAGGCTAAGATATGATCTAGAACTGTACAGAAATTTTAAAGGAGCTTCAATGAACTTTCATTTTTATCTAATAAAGAATTTTTCCCTTGAATACATAAAATATAAATAATTAGTTGTGCACCACAAAGTCCCGAGTCAGTATTTTAAACTCACATGCTTCTAAAAGAGTAATGTTTTGCAAATTTCAAATTTCTTCAAATATCTTTTTTTTTTTTTTTTTTAAAGTGATTATGCTAAAGCAATTGCAGTTACTTCTTCTACGACATCTGAGCTGGCAAATCTTTGCATTCCTAACATCCAATTCCAATGTGGAAAAATTCATGTTTCAGATTTCTTTCCTATAATAAACATTTAAAAAATAATGGAACATGCAACAGTGTACTGAAGTAACTTTCAGAACCCTTCCAGAAATCAATCATTTAATAGTATGCAAACATTATTGATCTCTGTATCATAGATACAGAAGTTTTGCTTCAGAAGTTTGAATAAAAGGTTTTAAGAGAAAAAGTGTTTCAAGAGACAATTTTCCGCTGTATTTTCCTGTATTTGAAAATAAACACCCTCTGATGGCTTCTAAAACATCAGACTCTTCTCCAAGCAAAAGTATATCTTATTTGCCTCCTAGACAAAATTCGAAAGTTTTGACTGAAATGGTCTGTCCACAAAGCACCATGTGTGAGTAAAATTGTCACAAACCTTGAACTCCGTGAGAAGATGTAACAAAGGGATACTTTCAGGGGATTAAGAGAGCTAAATAACAAAACAAAACAAAACAAAAAAACAGGACCAAAGAGTATTTAATCTTAGAAGTTTAAGCTCCAACCTCAGCTGTTGCTCAAATCAGTCCTTACTGAATACTTTGCCCCCACTGCAGTCTCCCCTAGCCCAAAGAATTGAAATTTGGCATTAATTAAGTAGCTAGAACCATTAGAATATGAGATGAGATGAAACCCTGTTGCGTTTAAATCCCTGACAAAGACTCACATAAACTTCAAAAAAGCAAAGATTCCTCCACAGAATTCATTATCACTGACTACAGAAGTACATACTTTCTTAAATTATGCAAGTTTAAACATCAAGGAAAAACTGATCTTCCATTAAGAATGTACTTTTGTTTTTTAAAACAATTTTTAAAGAGAAAACAAAATATGGGAACTTACATTCAATATCAAGGTACATGCTCTTTTGGTGCCCACCAATTCTACTTGCAGCTTCACAGTCATATCTCCCTGAATCTGACAACTTCACATCTTTAATATGCAGTGACGATTTTCCATGCTGCCCTTTGACTTCTATACGGCCATCTGGGCTCTGTTTACATTGATTTAGGAAAAAGAAAGGTTTTATACAGATATGTATATTTATATATGCTTTATATATTAAACACCACTGATATAGTATGACTGAAAGCATTTCTTCACCTGGGGTGAAACTATTACTGACAGATAGGCAATTTCAAAATTTGTTAAATGAATTAAAAATATAGAGAAAATATGCTGTTCTAGGCACTATAATCAATGGAATAAGTACATGCTTAAAGGAACACAGTCAAGGTAAATCACAAAAATTATCAACTGGCCCGGTGAATGACATACTGAAAGCCTGTTTATGATCGCATTTATTTTGCTATGATGATGTGGTTAATGAAAATATTATGTGTAAAACAATGATCAAAGTACAAATCCAGTCACAGACTTCTACATTGCATTATTTGTATTTTCTTGTCAGAAGCTTAAAATTATTAAAAACATGATCCACAGATGTAACTCGAATTTCTGGATTTCATTTTTATATCATTGCAAGGAAGAAGGGAGGAGATAAAAATGAATAATAGCTCCCAATTTTCTAGAGAATAATTTTTATATTCATTGACTTGATAAAAAATAATATCCCAATCCCCTGATTCAAACCTATTTGACTTTCAAGACTATAAAAGAGGAGGGAAAAAAGTAAAAAAAAAAAAAAAAATAATAAAAAAAAAAATCCAGTTATTTACACTTCAACTTCCGTGGAGAAGCATACCTGAGAGAAAAAAATAAAGTTATTTTTAATCTGGCTCTACAAATTACTTGTTCTGTAGTATGTAGTATTGGGAAACTTTACTTCTTTGTTTCATTTTTATTTCATTTAAGAAAAAAAAAAAAGGCTGATACAAAATAGTGATGTATACCTACCTTCATTACTAAGAAAAATGGAAAAGGAAGAGAAAAAAACTTTAATGTCCAATTCTATAACTATATATATTCATGACCTAACACAGATTGTTTCATCAGTGAATGCAGGAAAATATGCATACAATTAAGGATACTAATATTCAAAATAAAACAGTTGTATACAGTACTATTTATATCAGATTTCTAAGAAGGAAAAGAGCATCGGACTCCATGAACACTGAATTTTGTTTCCTGTGAAAATTTTCTCTGATATAGATATATCTGTTATATACCTATATTTTACAAGCACAATATAAGTACAATTTATCTAATGATTATTTCCTTATTATATATTACATGTACTTTGGCCAATTTATTTCTGATTTTAACTTAGCTAGAAGTATTTCTCAAAGAAGCCAAAATTTAATTTGTGAAAAGATACACACTGAAACAACCTGTAACAATGATTTGTAGAAACATCAAAACATCAAAAGGAAATTTTTTTCAGTTCTACACAAATACCAAATTCACTATATAATCATAGAATGGTAGAAAGGCCTGGGTTGGAAAGGACCACAATGATCCCCTAGTTTCAACCCCCCTGCTGTGTGCAGGGTCACCAACCACCAGACCAGGCTGCCCTGGTCTATAGATATAATCACTGTAAAATACATTCACAATAATTGACTCCATACATTCCAAAGCAGAGATACGAGTGTTAACTGATGTTAAGAAAAAAAAAAAAAAGAATCACAAAGATCTCTAAATACAGATCACAAAAGATTCTCCTTGTTTTATCCCATTATTTTCTACTGCTGGAAAATACTCCAAATATTTTGCTACACAGACATTTAGTATGTACCTAGAGTAACTTTCTGAAGTTGTATGTATGTATGAGAAAACATATTTCATTTGAACACGGATGACTGAAAATTAATAAGTCTTAGGGAAATTGACTTTTTATCTCTCTAGGGAAAAAGAAAATCAAAACCTAATCATTACTCTGAATGGAAGAAGATTTTTGACAACCACAACATCTACTCTCACTATCACCAAACATTTACTAAGAAGCACTTTGAGACAGATTTATGAGTTGATTCAATTGATTTCAAAACCAATGAGATATTTTCATTCAAAGTCCACAAAAATGAATAAAATGCGTAACAATTATAGGAAATAAAATAATTTGGCACAAGTGATTCAGAAAATATCAATATTTAACAATTAACCTCAAGTTTTTCAAAATTGTGTGAGAATGACCTCTTTGAAATTGTTCATAAAATAATGCAAAATATGTGATATTTTTTCGCTGCAGTCCACAGAATGTGTATATTCCTCTGATTACTTCATAAACAGTTAAGTTGTTCCTGGTCCTATCCTGCAGGTGCCTTACTACAGCACTTCAAAGAATCAAGACTAATTGATACAATTCCATTCATTATTCTGTACTTCACTGAAATATATTGTTGAGCAAACATTCCTGACAAACAAAAATATATGAAATGTGAGCGCAAATACATTCTAAGAAAATTCTCAAATAAGTAAATGAATAAATAAATAAATAAATAGAAATAGTTGTGCATGTCTATAGATGATTCCCAGACTATCCCCAAGAGAAATGCATGCCTATTAAAAATGCTAGAAAATACAATCATTTTCCACACAGATTTCAAAAATGCCACTGTGTCTGTATTTCCTCATTCTACAAAGTAAGTTGGCTAATAGGCATGTGGGTAAATAAATGAAGTACATACTGGGATACTACAAACAGGCACAGTAACAGCACAAACACACTGAAGCATAGCTTGGAAAGAATGGAGCAAAGTGACAGAAGCTGACTGCTTTGGACTCCTATGAAGAGCAGTGAAGAAGATGGGACAATATAACACACAGCTTTATCCTGAAGTAAAAACTGAAACCACCCTATATTTTCCTGATCTTCTAAGTGGTATTATCAAAATTAGAATATACTGAGAAAGAAGTAATCTGCTTTAATCCATGTCAGTCTTTTTATCTAACTTGGAACTGCAAATACGAAATGTGAAACAGGGACAGCCCTAACCTTGGACACTGCACCAATCAGAACTTGATATCTCCTGGTAAAATCTTTCTGAGGTTTAATTCACTCCTACAGTGAGTATGGACAGCACACATTACCACCATTTCTCTCACAGTAGCAGACCAGAACTGGAAAACGAAGAGGAACATGAAGTACACTGCATCCTCGCTGGAGAAATAGTACAGGCGTTGCCATAGATGAGAACTCAAAACATAGACACAATCTCTATAAATTGATAATGCTAATTACTCTCAAATCTGCCTGAAATGAATACGGACACTTACAGAATGGTGGTATTCTACTTTTTCCATTTCAAATACCGTAGGGGAAGAGATTTAATATATATATTACTATGTTCTTGTTCTGCTAAACCGAGCATGGTTTTATTTCTTAGTAGTATTAAAGAATGCACAAAATAGAGAAAACAAAAATGTGGACAGCGAGAACAGTCCATGTGGTTCAATGCTCGTGACTCCTGCCAACTCACTGAATTACTCTGTACAACTGCAGATTATGAATAATCAGTGAAGTCTGAAAACACATACATGACCAAAACAGTTCTAAATCCATGAACATGTACATTAAAAGGCACTTACACTCAAAGGCACAAGCAAATTATTTCAATAAACAGATCATTGCGCATATTGCAAATGCTACAGAAAAACAAAGTGTTTAGAAATTACTTTTTTTTGGAAATCCCAATAAAAATCAAAATATTTTCCAACATGACTGTTAATAAAATAATTTTGTAAAAGGCATTAAAAGTTTTCTCTTCAGTACAGGCTTTGACAAATTTTTACTCACATGTAGCTGGCTCTATGAGTTTACTGCTCTCTACAACTACCTGAAAGGAAGTTGTGGAAAGTTGAGGGTCAGCCTCTTCTCCTGACAGGACTCTTAACTAGTGACAGGACTAGAGGGAATGGCCTCAAGTTGAACCAGAGGAGATTCAGGTTGGATATTTGGAAAAAAATTCTTCAAAAGAGTGGTCAGGTGCTGGAATGGGCTGCCCAGGGAGGTGGTTGAGTCCATGGAGGTGTTCAAGAAGTGCTTGCAAGTTGTACTAAGGGATGGGGTTTAGCGGGGAAATATTGTTGGTAGGTGGATGATTGGACTAGATGATTTTAGGGGTCTTTTCCAACTTCGGTGATCATATGATTCTATAATTCTATCCATATAAACTTTATAATTTTTCAAAGAAAGAAAAAAACAACCTTTGGTATTTCAAATACTGATAGCAGTCTAGTCCTCTGTCACTGTCAAAGAAAACAAAATTGAACAAGATTGTTCTATATAGTAAAACTACAAATAACAGCAACATTTAACTACAAAAAAAAAAAAAAAAAAGGAGATTTTTCTACAATTTCAATATTCTGACTTGCAAAGCAATAATTAAAAAATGAGTGCTATCTCATCGCTTGAGATTAAGTACAGATATTAAAGGTAAATAATTTTTATTTTATGATGAGAATTTATAATGCTGTCCATGCTGTTCTATTACACGACTTTTCCTGTTAAGCTCTTCCTTTACTTCTGACATGACTTCAGTTCCACACATGAATATTTCCCACTTCTGGACTGGCTAATGCTGACCTGTCTGGACAGCACACAGCTCCAAAACCATGTCCTAGAGCTCCCAAGGTGGTATCAGAACGCTGGTAACCATGTATTTCAAGGGTTCCACATGCTGAAGAGGCATGTAGCTTTCAGGAAATGACAGAATACTGAGGTGAGAGTGCAACACCTGCAAAGATACATGAATAGCATCTTGGACAGAATAACCTAGGCTGATACCACTGAGGGTTAAATCTGCACAATCCCATTGGCATTGTAATTTAAAAAGTATAATTTCTCAGGAGGAGAGAACTAGCTGATAATGATGCTCAGATTGTCATTCTTTTTGAATTATAGATAGCAGTAATTGAGAAGAGGTGAATGCTGAGATTAGCGTTTGAATTTGATTTATCAACCATTTCTCCCTCTCTCACTGAGGAACTGTAGTACCAAATGAGATGAAGTTGTATGACAGCCAAAACATGCATTTGGAGCTGGCTGAAAGCAAAAGTGGAAGGCGAGAACAGATGAAGGAAGTGGTGACT